CCCACAGTCCAAGCCCTCCGGTCCAAGGACACCCCCGCGGAATATCAAGGATACCTTACACTACTGGAGATCTTTGCCTGGGGTACATGGCAGGATTATCAAAGTATGTCCCACCGAAATCTATCCTGATCCCTTGAAATTCAGGATTCTTAGGCATGAATGATTTGATTAACGCATCTCGAAAACAGCAACGCCGGATCTCCCTCCCCTTAACAATGAACAAACCCTAAAGCTCCGCCTTCTATCTCTTCTCAGCCTATCTGCAACCATCAAGCCGCTCACATATCAGATTCTCATGGATGCACTCTCAATCGCAGCTCCCTCTGAACTCGAATCTTTAGTCACAACGGCCATCTACTCCTCCCTTATCACCGCTCGTCTCTCCCCGGCGACGAACCCCCCAACCATCAATGTGACTTCTGTCGCACCCTTACGGGACGTGAAGCCTCAATCACTGAAAACGATGATCTCAATCCTCACCCAGTGGGAGACTCGCTGCGGCGACGTCATCAGCGACATCGAGGCCGAGATCGCCAAGATCAAGACCGACTCGGCAAAACGGCGTGCGAAGGAACAGGCTCGGTCAGTGTTAATCGAGAAGACGTTGTCAAACTGGGGCTCAGATGGGGGTGAGTCAAACCCCCGGTTTCCAGGATCCAAAAAGCAAGGCTGGCACGGAGGTGTAAAGGGTGGTTCCTCAGGGTTCATTGGCAATAAGCGCGAGTTCAGCGGGGATGACTTTGATGATGGATACTGGGACAACGGTGCTGATGAAGCCTATGACTCACAATTTTCTACCTCGAAGATGGATATTGACCAGGGCGCAGGATCGTCCGTTACGGGATCAGCGGGTGCTGGAGCTAGACATGCGAAACGTGTTTTGGGGAGGAAATCCTGATGTGATGTGATGAACTCAAGGGATTACCATATCTCTTTCACAGATTACGAAATATCCCTAGATATTTTTGACTACTAGGTGTCGAAGCAAGCCCTACGTACGAACCAGATGTCAACGGCCTTTTTATATCCTCAACTTTTCCTCGCCCGTCCAGCTTGTATGAGGTCGCGGGTTAGAATGTATTACTCCCATTAAATATGTCACATTGTAAAGCCCAACTCTCATGCACTTAACACTAAACCAAAAGGCTCGCTGAAGGTCGTTTAACGGACAATTTTAGCAAAAAGGGGTATTCTCAGAATGTAAATGGACAAAGAAAAAAAAAATGGAAAAGAGTCGGGAAAAAAGGAAGCTCATATTGACAAACAAAGGTAGACGGACCACTGACCCGAGGTTGAGCCCATTGTGATCCGTGAAACTAGGATACCCTGCCAGCTGATCATATGGGTTTGGGATCATGAATCCGTTGCTGTGATGGGGAAATAATATATGCAATACGTCGCAATTGCCGGGAGAGATGGGTGGTCGAGACCAAGGCGACATCCAATCTTGTATACCAGGCCTCGTAGCCATATGGTTAGCGCTATCGATTGTGGCTGGCCGGATTACACGCCCGCATTAACCTTCCAATAGAGGAACCAAAACGAAACGCGAGGACTTGGCCCAGAATTTGGCATGTGACGGCAATGAGCTCAGAGCATAGTACCAGGAACAAAGATGAACAGGACACTGAGCGCGGTGGCGACGAATGCAGCTATTAAAATGGTTGCCGTGGCGCGTTTGTTCAACAGCTTTCGCACGTATGGTTCGCGGATCGGCGACCAGTTCATAAAGGTATATTCACTGTATCCGAGAAATGCCATAACAGGGTCGATCTTGTACTGATATGAGACAATAAAATAGGATGCGACGATAAAAGGTAGTATCAACTGCATGATTGTTAGCGTTGAAGCGCGGCAAAACCGGGCAAATCACTACAACATACCCAACAACGGATGTGCCTTGGCTTGTCGCGGAGTACAACGTAGAAGGCTCCCCAAAACCCGCCACCAAAGCTTATCAGCGCAAAGGCGAGACGGGCAATCGTACTCAGCGGGACAAGGTTACCCAGGGCCTTCGCCTGCAAAAACCCTGGGAATGCATCGCGCTCCATGGCCTGGAAAACATAGTCTTTGGCGGGATCAAAAACTTCTGGGTCATCTCGGCCGTCATCCTCAACCAAATTGATGATTGTAGACACCATATCCTCTGGAAGTACAATTTCTCTTTCTGCGCCGGGAAGCAGATATGTATATAGAATCTTCTCTGCACTTGCACGAATGTCGGCCCGTGCCACAGTATGGCCAGGAGAAGTAGAATCGTTTCGCGTTCCAGAGCTTGGGCGAGGTAGCTGTTCATTAGACGGTGTGCGGGCGGGATCCTGCGAGCCCAGGCTGTCTTGGGGCGAGTGCCCTGGGTTATGACCATCAGAGCGCAAAAATGCCGACAATCTTTGATCGGCGTCCTGATCATCCAACTCATGGTTGCCGTGGCGCAACCCAGAGGGTCCGGCTTCCACCAGTGGTATATCGCCGAAAGTCTCGAGGTTCCCTAACGCATCGGAGGAACCTTTGCTATCCGCTTTCTCCAAGTCGGGTGTGGCTACTAAAACGGATCGGCGTAACTCTCGAACATAATGACGGCACAAAGACATATGTTGCGAAACATCGAGCCTAAAATCGATATAGTTAGAAAGATTCCCGAGCGACGCAATGATACGCCAAGGTGCGCGCATGTATCGTACCAGAAGTCCAAATAATCGACCGAGCGCTGCTGGTCCCGCATGTAAATGTAAAACGAAAAAAGATCGACAGGAGCTAATGTACGACGGCTAAGGACTTCAAAGAGAGTCGGGAGCCGATTCCGCTGCTCCAAGTCCGTAAGCGAAGGCGACGCCATCTTGGTGGAATGCTAGTTATGTCGAAGAGTGAGATCGGTCTAAGAAAGGGGGAAAGAACGTCGAGGTCGGGTTGCGTGAGGGATTAGCCGTAAATAAACAGGAGCGGTTCAATTATGATTTCAGTGACAGAAACAGACAAACTGGCGAGCGAGTAAAGTAACGAATGACGAGGAAAATGACTTGAGTGTGAGATTTGGGTTAAATTTGTCGTGAATGATCTAGAATTTTGGAGCCTGTCCGTCACAGAACCCCTGGAGAGGGGAGTTAGATGAAGGTAAACAAACAGCCACCGGGTCGCAGCTGAAAACCAATAATCAGGCACAATCCATTCAGAATCCCAGCAAGGAATGCAAGCTGCAGAATCCCAGTGAAGAAATAGAAAAAGCAATAGAAACACACCAGCCTTCAAGTAAAGCCTCCAAGAGACTTATGATGGTTGGTTTCTTTCTGCACGGCTGGCAGCCCGCTAAGCCCAACTAACGGCCCGCCTTAACGTTGATCCGAAATTAAATTGGCTTAGACCCACGGCCCGATGATCAGCTCCACGTTCTCGACAGCTTTCGGCAAGGAATGCCATCATCCATGGATTCTTGTCAACCCGGGCAGTCACATTTTCTTTGCCGAAGAAATAAGCATTTGAAAGGATCGGCAATAGAAATGTGACTATATCGAATGTCGCCTAGGCTGTTCAAGAAAGGAAAACGGAGGAAACTCTTAGATATATAAAAAGAAAAAGAAAAAGGAAAAGAAAAAAGGACGAGGAACTATACAATGCCAAGGTATAGGACTATTGGACGAATCCCCTCGAATTTATCACCTTAAAAATACATATAAAAAAAGAAAAGAAACCGAAATGCTCCATGCATCAAGTGGGTATTTGCTCATGACACCGTCTTCAAAAATTCAAACGCCAGCAGCCGAAACTCCTACCTCTCCAAGCTCATGCAATCATTCAATCGATTAGTGGCCATCCGCCAAGTGCTATAAGACAACCATTAGCAACACAGGGCAGTTACCAAGCCAGGGCTGCACTGGTATACTTACCGACCACTCGGGAATATTTCGAATCTGCTGCCACATAAACTTCTCCAGTTTATTCGCACTTTTTGCATAAGGCGTGTTCTCGTTGTTGTATCTTCGACAATTGTCAAAGATTAACATAGCATCTTTAATGAAATCTTGTGGTGTCGGATACATGTCCTTCTCATGTTTTTCTTCCATGGTCGACAAATCCATTGGCTCCTTAATAACTTCGTAGTAATCGGGAACCTCGTCACGATTGACCGGCTGCGTAAATGGCCAGGCTGCACTATGATTTTGCATATCGTTCAGCAGATGTAGTAGCTGGTTGTAGTTCGGTCCATGGCGTGGTTGACGCGCTAACTCATCCATGTCGGGTGACCATCCAGATTGCTTGATTGCCGGGATACTTAACGGATCGATTTTACACGCTCCATTTTTCCATTCTTTTGGTGGGACGTGTATGATATGTGATCGGCTGAAAGCACGGATCTTGGCGTGTACTGCTTCCTTCTGCTTTAAAAGCATACGACCAATCTCAAGATACCGTATCTTTGGAAGCATTGTACATTGCATAATGGTGCCTCCTTCATAATCCTTGATATAACCCATCCAGATAGACTTATCCAGTGTAATTTCCTTTGTGAACCCTTGCTTTTTGAAATACCCAATAGCGTAGTTATCCGCATATGTCAGGAAATGCATGATAGGCGACGTTGCCTTCACATAATCCTGTATAGCGCTTAGCATTCCCTGTGCACCGCAACGCGTCGAAACAAGTTACCTTCAAGTGAGACATCAGATGCGCACCGTAACCCTTGACCTGTTGATCAGAAGATATGGCACAAAAAACAATCTCCGCAAATTTGCGACTATTGAAAGGCCTATATGTGATTCCTCTGCGCATCATTAGCAAGCGAGTGTGCCAGGCCTCCGACAGATCATGCGCACATACCCTACTACTTCCAACGGATGTTTGACAATAGCGATAGACAAATGCGATCTATCGTAGACCAGTCGAGCAATGTAGTCTTTGGGCATCTTCGGAAGCTGCTTCTGAAAGATGCACTTCAGTCCAGTGAGGACAACAAAGCTGTCGCGCGAACCATCATTATTAACAACCCGGAATTCAATCTCCCCTCGACGTTCTTCTAGTACGGCTGGCTGTCAAAGGTCCATGATAAGCATTGTTCACATAAGTGAGTAAACAAGGCGGCTTACCTTCTCCGGGAAAGGAACGATCCTCAATGATGGCTTTCCTAGTGGTCCACCTTCAGACTTTTAAATCACCGTCAGCATACTCCACGGACAGTATTCCTGTACTGAAGAAACAGACCTTGGATTCCCTTTCCGGGGAATCTGTGCGCGCTTTCTTGCTCTGTTGCTGTGAATCTGGGGAAAGGGCTTCCTCCGAAGCTTTCCGTTTGTTGTCTGGACCATCGTTCAGTGAATAAACATATCAAGAACCTCGAGAAATCGCATTTCAGTATTGTCCACTCACTTTCCGATGCCATTCTTGTCAGGTGTACAAGTAATGAGGTTATAACGCTTGCTTGTCAGCTCCTCAGTCCCAACCGGCGCGATCTCCACGTTTGGCCGATATGGGGGGTTCGGTATCGGGAATATAATGATCCGGCACCATTATGCCAGATAACTATCTACTTGTTCTAGGGAGCTTCAGGAAGCTTCAGTAGTCTCCAATTCAATCGTTTCATGCTATATTTGCTCTAGTCACTAGCTGCTGGGCTTTATTTGAACCAATCTATCCCCATGTCGTTGAACGAAGTTTGGGAGGCAGCCTCCGCGAGCCCTTACACTCCACTGATTTCCAAAGATAGCCAGTTCTCCGTCGGCTTCACCCTCTTGCTTTCTGGTAAGACAGATTTGCGCAACATGGCCATGAACCGATCGCACTAACGAGTATTTCAGCACTCATATTGACTGGTCTTTTCGGACTGAGTTTGTATCCCTTCCAATATACCTTCGTACATTTTCTAACATTTAAACAGACCGTTCTTTCTTGAGCATCGCTTCATTTGGCGTCCCGGCGTCATTGGCATTCGGGTAAGAGCGCCTTGCGCAAAGGGACCTACAATGGCTAATACCACCATCCAGCTTCGGGGCCGTATACATGATCTGCGCTGTTGGGGTCTACGTTTAGGAAGACGTCCAGATCTTTTCAATGTACCATATGCCCAGTTGAGAGAGAAGCAGAAGGATTATACCATTAGAAACGTCGAAGCTCTTCCTCCCTGCAGACTCTCTATTAATCTAATTTGTCCGAGTTCTTTGTTTTCGATCCTTTCCGCCATCTCGTACATCCAGCCATGGCCGACGTGGAACCCATCTTTTCTGCTGTTTCCAGCAATGCTCACCATCTCTACACTCTACTACAGTGCATTGGCTTTGTACCAAAAGCTACCGTGTTTATTACCCCAGATGGGATTCGCTTTTCTGTGGAGGAAGGCCGAGTAATACAGGGACTCGCCTTCCTTGACAAAGCCCTTTTTACCACCTACACCTTCAACCCACCAGCCGCGCCGAACAACACTTCTGGGGATTCGGGGGACGGTGATGATTCTTCAGATGCTACCTCCAACCCATGCTTCGTTGTGTCGCTTTCTGCCCTCCTTGAGACGCTGAAAATTTTCAGTGTAAATGATCCATCCGCCACCGGGGCCAACAAGGCAGTTAGTGTCCAACCGTCGAACCCCTCGTCATCAAACGCCTTCACCACGCCTGCATTGCTTTTTGATCGTTCATGTACCTTGCAATATTTCCAACACGGCTCGCCTCTAAGCATCACTTTATCAGAAACTGGGATCAAGACCACTTGTGAACTAACAACCTACGAACCCGATGGTGGTGAAGTCGATATCCCTCTTCAACGTGACGCCATCATAATGAAGGTCATCATGCGTTCCGCCTGGTTACACAATGCCATTGTGGAGCTGGGTGCCACTAACCCAAATGTGTTAAAGATATCCGCCTCGGCAGATCGGGAACCTTTCTTCGCCTTGTCTGGTTCTGGTGGTCCGTTCAGCGAGTCCTCTGTAGAATTCTCAATAGAGGAACAAGGCCCGGACAACGGGGCGTCGTCCCAGTCTCGCAAAGTGTTGACCGACGATGGCACATCCAGGTCTCGGGCTAAGAGGACCAAGCTTGCGCCTACTGTCACCGAGACCTTCCTTGTTAGCCCACCGTCTTCAATGGGTTCTCGCATCAAGCAGAATTACCGATTTTCTCTTATCCAGAAGGCTTCTCGTGCTATGGCTGTGGCTAACAAAGTAAGCATTCGGGGCGACCGGCAAGGAGTTTTGAGTCTTCAGTTTATGGTTGAATTCGACGCACACGGCTCCAGCGGCGCGAGCAATAGCACAAGACCCTCTAGGGGAGTGCCAGGGCCCACAGTAACCTTTGTAGATTTCCGCTTTGTGCCGTTACTGGATGGTGAGGAGGCAGCTGATGAGAACAGCACGAATGATTACGAATAACGTCTTTCGGTGGAGCAACAGCTGTAAATAAAAGTACAAGTTAGCAATGAAATAGCTTGGTTTCAGTCAACACAGATTATTCACTCGCAGCGATGGCACTAGGCACTGGAAGTCTCATACTATATTCCCAACAGACTACCACGGGGCATCCGGGATCGTGTTGGGTTTAATAACATTACATAGAACTAACGCTTAATTATCCCACTTGCTCGTATAAGCTCAGTATTCTGCAAACACGGCATAATTTCCTGCTATCGTAGAGCCTTAGCACACATCGTTGCCTATGATTTGAATGCGCCTTTTGAGAAAAGCTCATTACTGCTTCTCCGAAGCATTCTTAAATGAACGTAGTTTTCTATCATCTATGGTAAGAAGTACAGCCGCTAATGTGTCTAACGATCGCGCTATATTTGCCTTTGGATTGCTTAAGATATATCATTAGCATTAAAAAAAATCCTGCAATTCTATTTTCTCTATGCCTTTCCACTACTGCCCATTATGTCCATCCACCGCTCCATCGATTCTATGAGAACCTCAATTCCCTCATCGATCACCTGTGTTATAGGCTTGCTGATATTAGCCCTGATATAATCATACCACGGGTCCAAAACGAGTTTGTTGACGTTGAACTTGGAGACACCTGCTTCTATACAGGCTTTCGACAGCTCCGGGGAAAAGTCGTTCGTTCCATGTAACACCAATCGGGCGCGCCCACTAAGTGCTTTGAAAATTCCGTGCAGCCTAACACATTCATGGCATTTAGCAACGTTCAGTGTACGGTTCATTGCGATTCTTACCGATCCATATCTGGTTGCGGCCCTTTGGGGCCATAGTCACCGTGGAGGTTGCCAACGCTCGGAGCCAGATAGTCAACCCCCGCGCGTATGAAGTCTTCAACATCTTCAGGACTAGTTAGGATTCCTGTACAACGCAATATTAGATTAGAACCCCTGGGTTCAGCATTTGGATGTCATACCTTCCAGATCACCTGTATCCATAATCCCATCTTCACCACCTTCGATTCGCCCCGTCTCAGCCTCTGTCGATATCCCCCTAGCATGGCAATATTCACGCAAAGCTGCGGTTCTTTCCAAGTTTTCCTCCTTCTCATAATGACTCATATCTACCATTATCGAGTCAAAGGATAGTGTATCAGCGATCTCCTTAATTTGATCATAATTTTGAGCGTGGTCGAGATGAAGTGAGATAGGAACGGAGGCTGCTCTCGCTGCGGCTGCAGCTGCATAGACAAGCGATGGTGTTTGGGTCAGTGCCGAAGGGAATAATTGAATGATTAACGGCGACTTGCGGTTTTCAGCTGCTCGGACGAACGCAGTGATATGTTCGACATTATAGCTATGGACTTCGTTAATTTGTATACTTTCGAAGTAGCAATCATTGTAACTTACGCAATTGCTGCAAGAACGCCATATCGACCTTTTTCCGCTGCATCTAGGATTTGCAGGGTCTTGTTTGTTGCAAGCCGAGTCATTGTAAAGCGGGGTTAGAGACAATCAGTGAGTTGCTTTGGTGTCAAAGTAGCATCATTATCATCATGGGAATTTCTCATGTTTTTTAACTGAAGCTTGAGCTCAGGATGAAATCCTCGTCTCGAGGCAGGTCGTACTTATGACTAATGTGGTAACTCCAAGCGCCGGACAAAGAGAACAAACCCATCCACGTGGTTCAGGGCAGCCTCGGCACGTGCTCCAACCTCGACGCGACTTTCCAGCAAAGCAAAGTCGAGCACCCTTGCATTAGTTGATATCGGCTGTCACATAATCTTTATTTTTAACCTTTCTCCACCATGCCAAACAATGGCCCGCAGAGTGGCATTCGGAAACAACGCAAATCTCGCGGTCGGGGCCTACGGACTAACGCGGGCTGGTCAGTATCACGGAGTTTTTTTGGCGTCTCTCATTTTTGCGAATAGTGCTGATCGTCCTTAGCTTAATTTGCAAGCGTCGCCACGTCAAATGTGATGAAGTAAGTTGATCAGCCCAAGTAGAAACTTTGCGTAGTGAAAAATATCGCTCATCATCAAAGATCCGCCCACAATGTGGACCATGCGCAAAGGGTCAACGGCCCTGCGTTTATGGGGATGACAATATTACTACTTCTCACACGACGTCTATAAACACAACCCCGAGTCAAGATGTTCCCACGGTGATAAGTTCCCAGGCACAAATCCACGAACCCTTGCAAGTGCTTGTGGATGCATGTCACCAAGAACACCCGATACAACTAAGGAATTTTAATCAAACATTAGCCCCCAATCGATCCAATCACCGTCAGATTTCGAGCAGATCAGTGTCGTCTCCGCTTCACGAGTATGTCCCTTCACCTGGTACAGAATCATCAGCGGCCTCATCGAGGGTGGCGCCCCTGAGCTGGTTTGAGCTTCTGGCTCAGGATGCCGCAAATGCAGACAGAGAGTTTTTGCTATCCCCTCAGCAAAGATTCCCATTGCCGACGGCAGAAGAAGCTTCAATAAACTCAGCGCGAAGTCCGGCCTTTGAGCCACGAAATCTGAGAGAACGGGAAAGCTTTCAGGCAGCATCATTTCACCATGACCCTGAAATGGGAAAGAAAGTTCCGTTGGCAGCTGTTGATGAGCAGTCACAAGCTCTTCCGGACGTGCCATCTTCGTGGAGCACAACGGCTCCCATTCATCTATCAGAACAGGAATTCCCGTTATTTACTCATTTTGTACAGACGTTCAGCGGCTGGTTGGACTTTTTCGACTCAACTCAGCAGTTCTGTTCTGTCGTTCCTCATCTGGCTCTGAGAAATACCGGTCTGATGAAGGCATTATTGGCGTTATCGGCGAGACATCTGACGCTTCTCAGGGAAACCCCTGGGGATCGTCACCATTCTGAGTCATCATATTCAGTTGATCGGAACGTCGCCGTTCGCTATTATTATGAAACACTGCATTACCTGAACAAGGCTATGCGCTATCAATCATATGCTGGAAGCCAGGAGCTAATTTCCACAGCCCTCTTGATTAGTACCTATGAGATGATTGATGGCTCCAACCGAGACTGGGAGCGGCACCTCAAAGGGGTATTCTGGATACAGCGATATCAAAACAACGATGGTGAATGCGGAGGCCTCCGTCAAGCCGTATGGTGGGCCTGGCTTAGGCAGGATGTATGGGTAGCTATGCGCGAGCGGCGCCGAGTCTTCAGTTTCTGGAGGCCAAAAAAGCATGTTTCAGTCCTCACAATACCCGAACTAACGACCCGTGCGATCTACCTGCTCGCACAGTGCGTCAACTACTCTTCACGGGAAGAGTCAGAATCGACTGACCTGGAGCAACGCTTGGAACGAGGAAACGAGTTACTATATATGTTACAAGAATGGCAAGACTGTCTTCCACGGGAATTCACCCCACTCCCAGTTCCTTCAAGCTCCGATGTCTTTCCCCCAATATGGGTCAATCCCCCGCCTTGTGCGGCTGCTTTGCAGATGCATAGCCTGGCCAGGATCATGGTCATTCTACACCGTCCTTCCATTGGCGGACTTCAAGACTATCGAGCTGCGCAGAAACTTCTTACATCCTCTCTTTGCACTATTTGTGGAATTGCTCGCATGAACGACGAAAATGATGACATGGCTTTTAGTGTCTCACTCCAGTGTTTATATGGAGGTAACTTCCCCCGCCAAGTGTTCTGCTATTTATGTATCTCTAACCTCTGTTCAGCGGGACTCGGTGTTCATACTCCTCATGAACGTGCTGCATTACTTGGTCTCCTAGACAAGTGTCAACGACGAATACGCTGGCCTGCAGACTCCTTAACAAATGAACTTGAGGCCGAATATCAGAAAGATGAACTCTCTGCGTTTGCTAGATGATTTTGTTTTTGACGTACGCATTATTGATCCAACTTCCGAATAGGGTGGTCAGATATCGACCGTTAGTATCAGCGAAGAGCAAGGGAATTCTGCAACGGTCACCAGAACCATCAAAGAGCCTCTCCATTTGCGTCATTCATGAACTCCAGTTGACGGCCAAGAAGCGCCATCCTCTTTGTGCCTTCAGGCACATTCCCTTCCAGCTAATACAAGAAATCCGCGGCGCAGTACATCTCTGGATCACATGTGGTGCATTACCTCCTATTATGGTGTGTATTCGTCAGGGACTCATAATATATATACATTTGTTCGTTATTCGTAACAAGGGCCTACTGCCATTGTCGCCAATAGTGATTGGTACGTGCCAGTTGTTCAACCTTGTGGTCATATCTTAAGATACAACCACACGCAAAATTCTGCAATCAAAAGTCCAACTCCTACTGCCTCGCTTCTGATTTGGCTTTGCGACGAATCCAAACGTGCAGAATCAGAAAGACAATCACACCAACTGCCAACATGGCCGAGATCACCGCGAAACCCATAATATATTTCGGGCTATCCGAGTCCGGAAACAGGTACTAATATAGCGTTAGCATAGCTTAGCCTATGGGTTAGTAGGCAAATACATACGGAACCATAGATCTGGGCTAGGTTCCCCAGCGCGTTCACCAGCGCTAGGCTGACACCTCTAACCTGTGGCTGCATGTCCGCGAAGGCCGAGGAGGCATATGCAAGTGTACCTCCATTGGTTGCCCACAGACCGGCTGCCATGAGGACAAGAAGAGCATATCGAGCAGTATAGTCGTATACTGCACAAACAGCAATCGAGCATGCAAGGGAGAATGCCAGCCAGGCAGCAATGACAACACCACGCCACAAAGGGATCTTATCACTGAAATATGCTGTGATGCCAGTACAGACAAATGCCACTGCATAGATGGGAATTGTAAGGAAGTTGATTCTCATGGTGGAGGCGTCGCCGAAAAGACCTTTGACCAGAGTCGGGTAGAAGTAAGAAAGCGTGCTGGCACCAACAATAACCTGAAGATCTGTCAGTATTGTGCAGGATAGGCGAAAGGGTAAATCCAATTACCATGTATCCAATAACAAACATCCATGTCCGCCAGTCCTTGACTGATCCCAGAACAGCCTGCCATGGACTCAGTCGTTCGTCGTCCTCCGTCATAGCTGTGACATTGTCTGATTCCAACCTTGCAATGGCGATGTGTCGCTCTCTTGCCGATAGACGCTTGGTTGTGGCGGGGAAATCAGGAAGTATAAAAAGACTTATTAATGCGAACCCTACAGTAGCAGCTCCCTCAACAATAAACAGCCATCGCCATCCTCTGATACCGTGTGCGCCTTCGAGGCCACCGACAATACCGGCAGCTATTAATCCACCAAACGCACCGGACAATACGGCGGCGGAGATATAGACACCAAATCGCTTCGATTGTTCAGTTTTCTTGTACCAGGAAGAGATAACAAGAAGTACGCCTGGTGCAAACCCAGACTCAACGCAACCTGATGCGGTGAGTATATGATCTTTTTTATCGAAGCGCTCCATTGGAAGGTCTTCGTACCTATCAATGCTCGTAATACAACGAGGTGTTTAAAGTCTTTCACGACACCCATGACACATGTCAGCGTCCCCCAAATCACCATAATTCCGGGAAGGAACAAAGAGGGCCGTGTTCGACTGAGTATGAGACTGCAGAGATGATAGTAGGTTAGCATAAGGATTATCTGAGACAATGGATGGCTGCTTACTTGCTAGGAACCTCGAGGACAACGTATCCGATGAAAAAGACGACCAGACAAATCGAATACTGGTCTGATGTTAGATTCAGGTCTTCCTCCATCCCTGAGATCTTTGCATTTCCGATGCTATGTGCGAATGGGTATTAGTACAAGATCTTTTACTCCCGAGGTCTGAAAAAGGTACAGCGCCGACATACTTTGTTCGATCCATGTACGATAGGAGGTACATGATCCACATTGTAGGCAGGAGCATCAGGTCAACCTTTCGCACGAGGGCGGCCTCTTCCTCAGGTGAACATGGTGCCACAGTTTCCTCGCCAATATTCTCGATTTCCTTGGGGGAAAGGTCTTCCTTGCCCTCCACGTCCAGATGGCCTGCCATTGAGGTGTATCGCGCGACTACCCTGAGAGTGAAGAAATCAGAGAAATGATGAACAGAAGGCAACACAACCAATGAACTGTTCCAGCTTTCTATGCTCCTGAACCTGGACTAGGCAGTCGTCGAAACCCTTCAACGGATATTTATACTTCCCTCAAGTATTAGACGTCGCATAGCCAGGCCAAACCAGCTGTAGCAAAGTGCCGCAGTCAGGCCATCGACGAGCCCATGGGAACGCAACATCTTTCTCCACGATAGTCTGTGCCCTCTGGACCAATCTAACCATGATACCTTTTAGAGTCTAATGCGAGACCTGAATCCACCTCCGCAAAACGGATACGGCTTCCCCGCAAACTTTGTTCATGATTCAAACCTGAAAAGGGTTTGGTGGTTCTATCCCGGTGCGATGTGCCTCGCGACGAGGCAGATGGGACCCACCTCGGGAGTGCCTCAGGATATGCTCATCTCCGCCCTTTATGGTAGACTGGAGTCAGCAAAAGCTCTTGCATCCAACGGCCATTATGTCCCGTGACGTCAAAGAAGTGGCCTTGATCAATTAAATGCTATTATTTGATGCTCCGCGATCCGAGATGCCTCGACTCGAAGCCAAGAGCTATGATGCAGTTTTCCATCCCACCCTCGGGGCATGGCCGATAGAAATGACGCCGCTAAGAATAATCGGCAGTTAATATCCCCTCTACTTCTCCATTTAAATATCGAAGGACTTGGACATTTCTCTCTGTCCCTTCATCTACAGATTTATCTTCCCTAGAGCCGATCTTCCCTCCATTTTATCTCCTCCAGGTCCTTATTACCATTACCATCACCATCACCATCATGCCCCCCGCCGCGACCGAGAATGTTCCAGCTCCAGCTGCAGCCGCGGCTGCAGCGTCTAACCCTGAAGCACAGCCATATCTCAGCACAATGCCTTCTTCAGACTTCAATTGGCAGATTACCCTCGCGAACAAAGTAGTCGCAATTACGGGTGCCAACCGCGGAATCGGGTTGGGGATTGCGGAGGTCTGCCTCGCGAACTCAGCCAAGTTCGTATACTCCCTCGACCTGATGGAGCCTGGAGAGGACTTTGCGGAACTCCAAAACAGATACAGCAATATTCGCTACATTCAAACAGATGTAACGAGCGAAGAAAGTATCGAGAATGCTATCAACAAAGTGGTTGAGGAAACGGGCCGGATCGATGGCTTGGTGGCCAACGCTGGAATGACCAAGCATCAGCCTGCACTCAAATTTGACCGTGAACAGTTGGATAAACTCTTCAACCTCAATGTGAGTGTTCCCCCTCCCTACCCGGGGCGACTTGTCCACGAAGATGGGCTAACGGTTCCAGGTTTTTGGTGCATACTTCTGTGCTCAAATCGTCGCACGCAAATTCATCGAATTTGGTATCAAGGGGTCTATCGTGATGACTTCCAGTATGACTTCTTATCGACCAAACAGGGTGCGTTCAGCTCGGTCCAGTCGCTTCAACGAAAAGGTATCGCTAACCATTGCTTTCAGGCTGCTCCTTCTGCCCCTTACGGTGCGACCAAGGCCGCAGTTCGGAATATGTGTCACACTCTGGCCATGGAATGGAGTCAACATGGCATCCGCGTCAACAGCATTTCTCCCGGCTTCGTTCGAACCGCAATGACATACTATGTGGAGAAGTCTCCGGACTGGGATCTCAAGATGCAATACTACGGTGGTATGCCTCGTCTAGCCGACCCACGGGAGCTTGGTGGAGCATACGTGTACCTCCTCAGCGACTCGAGCTCCTACACAACTGGTATTGACATTCCGATCGCTGGTATCGTGGGTGCGTGGTAATGGGGCTATGGATGATCTTTTAAGACGTGGACTATGCATTTTATATATCCGGTGAACCGTTGTGGTCGGCGTTGACTTTGCTTTATAGATTGTTCGATTTCCCAATGATGATCATTTTGAGGCTTTTCATTATGCCTCCCATGTTGTAGACGGTACCGCTGAATCTTCATGACCTACTTTAACTGTCAGCGTTTAAACACATTAGCAAGCTGTTTGACTACGCCACCATCTTTATCTCTTAGATCCTTTATTTCTCGAAGCCCCTTGTATGAGTTTCTTATATAACACGGTCCCATCCTTCCTATCAGTTGTTTCTACCTAGATACTTCGAATTAGAAGAAATCAAATACTTGTACTTCTCATTCGGCCGGATTATTTACTGAGACATTTGAAGAGGTTGTAGCGGGTGTCGGCCAAGGTCAACATGTTTTTATTCGACAAACTGTTTTTCTTAGGATTATCCGTGGTTACAGAACTGGGGAAGCACAATTGAGGCAGTATGTGTCCTATGGTAATGCTGACGACAAACGTCAGACACAAAGGCGAACAAAAAGCGGCGTATCGTCGAGCCAAAAACGACCAGGGAGAGTATCCAGATGGTGGGTGAGTGTTACGTGGAAATACTACGTAAGATAATCACCCCGTAGAATAATAAGCTTTCACATCGTAATATCGCGGAGAACGTCAATGTGCCGCAATAGATCTTTTTGTCGACCCTGTCATTTGCCACCAGCAAGTTGTCTACTCAGGAGGCTTTGAGAAATATATATAGTAGTAGTAGTCGGAAAGGGGGCTTATCCGGGTGCATAACACTAGTAGTGCATGAGAACAGTAGTAAAACGTTCGGATATCCATACTTCATCGACATCGCTAAGCAAAAATATCAACAGAGCTTCTCACAAGTTAAGCTCTCATTGCAGATATAGATGGTTGTTGAAATTAAGATCAGGCTGTTCATTACAAGGTGGCTGTTCTGTCCACTGCCCTCCACACCCCACGGCAGGGATTCCGTCCATAGGTGCAGCGGTCAGCCCACATAGTTCTATGTCTCGTGAGGGGGTGAGAGCAGCTGTTTACGGAGTAGGTAAACGCCCACGGTTGTTTAGTCGAGAGCTCAGGGGTGGAGTTGTCCAATGAATCTTGCGCTGAGTCTCCGTGGATCAGCTACCAGTAAATCTAATTTGCTGGTGACACATATTGGTCAGTGCTCGTATTCTTTCGGTACGATGCTGCCTGGGCTTGGATCAGCCACACGAATTTCCTGGGAGATTAGCACATTTCGAAACTGGACTGGATATGTGGCGTCTTACTTCTACTACTGTAGCATAGGATGAGGTATGACGTTGTCCGTTGTGTGGTAATGTTCGTCTATCTCTCAATCTTACGCTCCAGCATCATCCATGTCAAACGATAATCCAACGGTTAAACCAGAATAGGGCATTATCTTGACCGTAAGCGGAAATGCGACGGAAAGTCTGGAAACAATTACAACGGGAATCCTCTCGGTATGACGCTAGTATCTCTAATGTTGGGGGTGAGGAGAAAGGTGGGGCTCGACAAATTATGCGATTGGTCGGAAGTACATATTCTTATCACGGCCGCTGCTTCCACGTGGTTCTGCGGTAGCGTGATTCCATACTAATACATACCACATGTTACCAATGTATCGCGTGGAGGTGTTAACCCTGTTCTGTAATGTATAAAGAGGCAGTAACCAGATTACAACCAGATTCTGGTTCTCTGCGATGATGGGGGCGGTCAACCAGGCTTGGTTAGGATTGCAATTCCATCGCAGTTCTACTACTATACTACTACTACTACCCAACTACTAAGCCTAGCCAAATTGGAAACATACATAGTCTACGTTCTGGGATCTTATTTCCGTTCCTGGGTTTTAGTTGAGGTGCCCCGGAACAAAGCGCTTCCATCACTGGCCCGCCCCCACTGTGGTGAGGCAGCTTAATATCGTACAATTATCCCCCGTTTTCTCACGATGGACCAAACTGTGCCTTCGCCATGAAGCCGTTGGGGCCTTCAAAGTCACACCACAAAAGATCATCCATGGTGGCTGACAGAGCATGACATTATGACCCTTCGGATGATTCGGTCCCTCAGGCCCCCCAGTTGTACAAGGCAGAGAGAGGACCGCAAAAGTCTTAAGGAAGAGAGCCAAGCCATCGCCAAAGGGCTGGTGACGAATAAAATTCCTGGTAATCAACGCTCCGATTCTTGTTGATGCAACCCTGGCGACGGTAATAATGCGAGTCATTATTATTAGTAGCACAGTACTTGCTTGCTCCAAGCGGAGGCTTGCGTTCCAAGGGGTGGCCAGCTGTTCTCTCCACACGGTTTCTCGTTCATTGAGTTTGGGTTTTTGCGTTTGAAAATGCCGCATGGCATCCATACATGACATGGGCTTCAACGATGGCGAACTTAACTTTCTCAACCAAAAAAAAGGCGGATTCTGCCCGATCATAGTTCCTATTTCGGAAGGGAACACTTGACCCATAACTGTGTCAAGGTCCCTGTGGTTCTAGAAAACTCTCTTGCTGCTGGATTGTGGAGGGTCGGGGTTGTACACCATCCTACATACACTTAGTTACGGGGCCATAGCAACCAAGGAAGTTGTGCCTCAAATTTGAACGGGGTCAAAAGCAAACTAAGATGTTCTAACGGGTGTTTCCTTGTTCCTTTGTAAAAAATTTTCTTTGTATGATTCTAGAGGAATCGATAGCCGTGAACTCATACATAGATGACTGGTTCCTCCCGACAGATATATGGTACATACATACATACATACAATGGATACACACAGCCCGGTACGGACAAAGCCCCATACAGCCAGTAATACCGACTCCGATACATACAAGCCTCCTCCAGAACAGGAACTTTCAGGTACCGAACCCAATATGAAAGCAGACACAAACTCCCTGCCATAATGATAATGGAGGGGGAGGAGGTGCAGTTACGATGGACAATGGCTGGGAATCCTGATCAGAAATAATAACAGCAACTCTTTACTTTACTAAGAAGGATCCAGACAGATTGAGTTTTGTTTTATCCCTCAAGATCCCCCCTCATTTTTCCCCAACCGCCAATCCACACGTCCGCCCGTCGAAGTCGCCCCAAATGGCTTGGGGCCCGCGCACCATCCGTCATAAAGCTGAACAGTAATCAATCGTTCGTTCTTTAACTCCGTCACTACCTTACCGATCTGAGTTACCATTTTCAATATCCGACCCATTCACACTCTCTCCTCTTTCCACAACCCCCCCCCTTCGTGTCTCTGTCTCTCTCTCTTTCTCCTTCGCCTCCCCTTTACATGGTCTTTTGGTTCTTTACTTTCTAGATTTCTAGATTATTAGAACCTAGACTCGTTGATCGATTTCTTTACTTGTTCGCTTGTTAAGGTTCCAGCTTAGCCTGGGATTTCCCCTGCGTGCTTTACGGGGTGCCCCCACAGCTCTCGATTCCGCCGCCCGTTCACGTTCCGCCCCATTCCTTGTTCACACTCTCCAGCGCTTCTTTCACTTCCATCGGCTCTGCGGACCTTGCAAACCTTATGCCTCACACCGTTCCTTGTCACCTTACGTAGTGGTTGCCATCAGATCTACCAAATTCAATCCAATTGTTCCTTTCTCCTCCTGGCCGCTTACCTGTCCGCCTGTCGCATCGTCCGTCCATTCATTTGCGCGTTGTCTGACCAACACCTGTTCGGCCCTTCCAGCGGCCCTGCTGTCGGCTTCTCTTCAAATCCGTCAGATGAAGCTTGAAGTTGCGAGTCAAGATCTTCTGTGGCAATTATGGGGTCCTTTCTAAGGAGTCTACGCAGAGATGTGGTGAGTGGTTCCGTCCTCGTTTGCCCCCCGGCCTTTGTCTCGTTTCGCCATCGTGCTATAGTCTCTTCTTGATGGTATGTTCAAGGACATACCAAGAGAAGCAAGAAAGGAAAGAGAGAAGAAGAAGAAGAAGAAGAAGAAGAAGAAGAAAAAGAAGAAAAGCTCTACCAAACCATGTTCCTCTCTGCCCTGCGACAACTGAATGCTAATCCTCGATTTGTCCAGGGACCCCCCACACCCTCAGTTGGGGCGACTCCCGCAAAGAAAGAACCACCAGTGCCCCCCGTGACCCCTTTAGAGAAGATGCTCCAGGATATGGGTGCGATCCGTGAGGATGGTAGTGACAAGTTTTTTGGGATGGAAAATGTGAGTCTTTGGCTGTGTCGCGGTACTTGGAATGCTATGTATAATGGTGCTAATGTTGTCTGCTATTTTTTCAGTACGGTAACACCTGGTAAGTCGATGTGTACCTGACTTCGGGCAGCTTGCAGTTTCAGAAGTGCACATTACTGACACTCACCTCGATAGTTATTGTAATTCGATTTTACAGTGTCTATATTATTCCGTTCCTTTTCGGGAGGCTGTCGTTAATTACCCGACCCGAACACCTATAGAGAGTCTAGAAGCGGCGTTAGCAAAGACTCTTCGCTATCAAAACTTCGCCGCTAACTTGGAAGCCGAGGCGCTGGCCGAGAAACAGAAAGCTGCCAATGCTCAGCGCCCTGGAGCGCCTCCGAATCAGCCGCAAAAACCAGAGGACAAAGACTCGCCCGAATACAAGAAGAAAATGGCATTACAAACGCTACCACTCTTGGAGACAAAGAACAACGCGACCAGCTATGGAATGTCAGAGTCCCTCTTTACGTCATTGAAAGACCTTTTCGAGTCTGTTGTTGCAAGCCAGTCGCGGATAGGTATAATCCGACCGCAGCACTTCTTGGATGTTCTCCGACGTGAACACGAAATGTTTCGGACTGCTATGCACCAAGACGCCCATGAATTCCTAAACCTACTTCTCAATGAAGTTGTTGCGAACGTGGAGGCAGAGGCATCTAAACAACCTGAATTAGAGAAGAGTCTCCCCCCAGCTGAAAGCACAGACTCGACTGAGCTATCGGGAAGCGCCGGCTCTAAAACCCCCAACACTACTCGCTGGGTGCATGAATTATTTGAAGGGACTCTGACATCGGAAACACAGTGTTTAACTTGTGAGAAGGTTTCGCAACGTGACGAAGTTTTCTTGGATCTGTCGGTAGACCTTGAACAGCACTCGTCGGTTACGTCGTGTTTGAGAAAGTTCTCAGCAGAGGAGATGCTTTGCGAAAGAAACAAGTTCCACTGCGATAACTGCGGTGGTCTTCAAGAGGCTGAAAAGAGGATGAAAATCAAGCGCCTGCCTCGGATTCTGGCTCTGCACCTCAAACGATTCAAATATACCGAAGACCTGCAACGACTTCAGAAGCTATTCCATAGAGTTGTCTATCCCTATCACCTTCGCCTTTTCAATACGACAGACGATGCGGAGGACCCAGATCGTTTGTACGAGCTTTATGCAGTGGTGGTGCATATCGGTGGCGGGCCATATCATGGACACTATGTCGCCATTATTAAAACACAGGATCGCGGATGGTTGTTGTTTGACGATGAGATGGTAGAGCCTGTGGATAAGAACTATGTCCGTAACTTCTTTGGCGACAGGCCAGGTCTGGCCTGCGCCTACGTCCTATTCTATCAGGAGACCACACTCGAGGCTGTTATGAAAGAACAAGAGCAGGAAAACCTGGACTTAAACACGGGCGTCGCTGACATAAACGACTCCACCTTAAAACAGAATGGCCATCCCCTATCTCCAGGGTTGGCCCATGTTCACAGCGCATCACAGATACCTTCAGCCAATGAACCCGCCCGATTCAGCAGTCTCCAACGGGCCCCTACTGCGCCTCCCTTGTTCCCTCACCCGGAACATGCAGACTCGGAAAGCGCATCCGCAGATCCTTCGACTACTACATCTAGCATCCCGCCTGTTCCCCCCATACCGGACACGCATTCTCTTCCTCTCAGCCCGAAAAAGAGCGATTCTCATTTCAAAAAGGAACGCGCCAAAGAGGAAAAGGAGCGAAAAGCAAGCGAGAAAGAAAAAGAGAAACAACGCCGGAAGGAACAGGAAGCGAGAATCAGGGAACAGCGACGAGAGGATGCCGAAATCAGAGCTGCGCTCGAGGCGAGCAAGGCGTCGAAGGCCGAGGAAGATCGTCGGCATTCTCCTGATGACAGCAAGAAGCCAAGCCATGGCTTGAGCCGTCTGAAGCGCGGTAGCAAGAGCTTCAGCCATCGGCTCGGCAAAGATAAAGAGAATCGGGCTCCATCCTCAGGTCTCCCGGCAACACCTATTGCGGAACACCCACCATCAAGAAACGGGGCTTCCGAATCACAGCAACAACTACCCAACGGCCAATCTCCGGGTTTTCATGGCTTACATACTAGGCATACAGGACTAGGCGAAGAGCGGGATACACTCAAAGATCCTAAACACGACCCTAAACACGACAGAAGCGGACACCATGGAAAATGGAGGAGTTTCAGTCTCAAGAAGAAGTCGTTTAGCATTCTTTCATGAGCCTTTCTTCTCGTCCCGGTATTTCGGCGACAAGTATCGGCGATATCTTTCTGCACATAGAATGCGCGTTTTCCGTACATATTTCGATGTATCATCACCTTTATCTTCATACCGGTCGTATGGATCTTCCGGCGGCATATTTCAGAGTCCCGCGCATCCTATAGCAAGGATACCATAGGAACCGGTTAAGTTTTACTTCTTCGTGCGCGTTTTTGCTTCTTATCGCATACGATGCATTCTATTAGCTTGTTGTTTTAGCCACCACTCCATATTTTCGATTCATCAACTTTGTGATACCCGTGCCTGGGTCACATAGCTGGGCAAACGAGGCGTTTGGCGCGTTCATTTCTGTTTGACATTGCTTTTCAAATGAGCTGGCAATTTATGGCAAGGGGTTCAGGTCTGTTCAGGTTATGGGAACGGTGTGCAAATTCTGAAAAGAAAAGAACAGCAGAGTATTTATTTTACTGTACTGTAGGTAGGATGGGTCACACACGCCCATCCTTTCGCCATGTATATCGTGTTCTATTACTCCAGGGGATGTCCACACAAATAGACAGCGTTGTATGAAACCAGCACGGTGCATGAATCTCGGTGCAAACTAGATGTGGAATATTCATTGCCCTTCAAAGAGGCGAGCGAACCATCTAACCACTTGGATTCAGGTATACATATGTAATTGTATCATTTGAAGCTTTTTCAGGACATCCATATTTCCACGCTAAACCCCAGTAAAAGAAGAAAGGAAATATTCTATAGAAACAACCATTTACTCATATAGTCAGTCACATTGCAACGAGAGAACACCACTTCCAGGCCACAAACGTCCCATCCGAGCCAACCAGGAGCAGAAACAGCCCCATTCTCGAGTGCAGTTCGCTGCAGTCTCCTCCATTGTCCAGCTACCAAGAATCCATATATTCTTCATTGCATGCGACTCGTGCGCTCGTGTATCGTTTCTCTCCGCAGCAGGCAGTGAAGGCAAACGCTGCACTTGATATTCAGAGAAGTTCGAGATATGGGGCGTTTCGGCAAGTACTGCATTCCCTCTAGCTAGCTCGCAGGGTGTCCGGTCGATCGCTCGGTAATAGAATCAATCAAAAAAAAAGTAAATAAAATAAAATACTCCGCAGGAAATCAGAACAAAGGAACCAGTCGCTCAACCGAGAATAATCGAATATACAATAATTATAGTGTTTATGACGATAAGGGGTACTAGCGCGCATATAAACCATTAGCACTCGATCCGAAGCATGTGTATAGATGATCTCAGACAAAGACCACCCAGCCAGGGAGCCAGGTAGATAGATAGATAGGATATCCACAACATACTTCGCATAACAGTCCGCACACTGGCGATCAGATCTACCGTTTTAGCCTTGACGCTGGTACTATCGTATGATGTACCGAAGGCCGGGTCAGCTTGACTGCGACCCCATCCGACTATGTAGAGGTTACTTGATTAGCTGGGGGTTTCGCTTTTGCTTGTGAATGGGGGGGTGGAGAGGGAAAGGTAATCGACTCGACGTACTTCTGGCGAGGAAGCGGTCTTCGCTTAGGATTGCGATTGCATTTGTTATTAAGACGGCGACGTAGACGAGGCGCCCGAGACCGAAGAGGAACATTTTGGAGTGCGGTGTTGGTGTGTTGGTTGCGGAGTGGATTTGGAGGAGAAGGTGAGAGGTGTCTTTGGTCCGGCGATAACGATAAATGTTCCGCGGACACGGGACGTGTGAGCCAAGACTGGATTTATTGATTAAATATGATTTATACTCCGTATAGTAGCAGTAACGCGACCAAAGAGGGTCCTTTAACCTCTTAGAAAGTACTAAATTATGTTTACTAACTAACTAACTCACTACCTACCTCCCTTCTCGCTATAACTTTTGTATCCGCCTTTGTTGATCAACCTGCTATCAAATTGGAACGTTAATAAACAGCCTGAGATTTAAATGCTCCCAGAAAGTGTCTCCGGTTTTCTGCTTCTATTCTAACCAACAACTACAACTCCAATTGCGGCACAATGGGGAAAGCTGATACTGGTATGATTTGTTTTAACCCCCCCCCCCCCCCCCCCCCCCCCCAATCCATGTAATTCTTACTAATCTCTACTGTTCCCATCAGCTTTCATACTCCTTCTTGGCGCCATCCCAGCCCTCATACTCCTCCACCTTTACCTGGCTCCCTACACCAAGGTAGAGGAGTCTTTCCATGTTCAAGCTATTCATGACATTCTCACGTATGGCATCCCAACTCAACATGTTGCCGAGGCTCTACGCGCCAATTATGATCATTTCACCTTCCCCGGTGCTGTGCCCCGGACATTTGTCGGAGCTGCCGTTTTGTCTGCAGTCTCGCAGCCATTCATCTGGTTGAATGACACGATTGATAGGCAACTGCTCGGTATAAAAGCCTTCGTATAGCTGCTTTGTAACGCTCGGACTAACGGGATAAACCTCAGCACGAGCCATTCTGGGCCTGTTCAATGCTCTGTCTTTACTCTCCTTCGCATCCGGATTGCGACGAGCTTTCGGAAAGACTACCGCGATCTGTTACTTGCTTTACCAGGCAAGCCAATTCCATGTCCTCTACTATGCATCGCGGACACTGTCCAACATGTTTGCTTTCGGGTTATCTACCCTAGCGCTGGGATACCTCCTCCAGGACCATTCTCAATCAGCAACCTCCAAGACGTATAGAAGCCGGTGTCGGTTATCTCTGTGCCTGTTGACCATAGCCGGTATTATCTTCCGCTCGGAACTCGCCCTCTTCCTTGCCACCAACACCATCTTTCTTTTCCTTACAGGACGCATCGGCATTCAGCGTGAGATAATCCCAGCCGGGCTGCTAGGCCTGCTCCTCGGCTTAGGATCAACTGTACTTGTGGATTCATTCTTCTGGCAAAAGTATCCCCTATGGCCAGAGCTAGAAGCTTTCATATTCAACGTCATCCACGGTCAATCATCTGCCTGGGGCACACATCCTTGGCACTTCTACTTCACCAACGCCATCCCTCGCCTCCTACTAAACCCTCTGGTCTATCTGGTCGGGCTTCCAGTCGCCCTGTTCCAGCCATCAACCCGATCCGCAGCAGCATACCTGCTTATCCCATCACTTACCTTCATAGCCATCTACAGCATCCAACCTCACAAAGAATGGCGTTTCATTGTTTACACCATCCCCCCACTCACCGCCGCCTCCGCCCTGGGAGCATCCTACATCTGGACACACCGGACCAAATCCCTCCTCTACCGTCTTCTCTCTATGGCCATGATCCTATCTACCTTCGCCTCATTCCTCTGCTCAACTTTCATCCTCCTCCCCGCCTCCTCCGCGAACTACCCAGGTGCACACGCCCTCCAATCCCTCCACAGCCACGCCCACAGCACCAAACCCATCATCTCCGTCCACCTAGGCAACCTCGCCTGCCAAACAGGCGTCACCCGGTTCCTCGAAATGCCTAATCAACCAGACAATTCAACCCCAACCTGGACATACGACAAAACCGAAAACGAAACCCTCAAAGCCACATCTTCCTTCTGGACTCAGTTCGACTACCTCCTTGTCGAACCGGGGGAAGAAGAAGCGAAGGTCCGATCTCTCTCCGGACCAGATTATTGGGAAGATGTGGATGTTATTGACGGGTTCGCGGGTCTGAGGATTGTTCGACCAGGTGAAGAGGCCGTGGGTACAGTTGAGGAGCGGATTCTAACGAAGTTTATTGGTGAAGATGGGGCTCGGGTTTGGAGAGCTGGTCGGGAGTTTGCTCGTCGGGCTGTCACTCGGGGTTGGTGGGTTGAGCTGAGGATGAATCCGAAGATTAAGATTTTGGGGCGGGTTTCTGTTTAGGATATTTTTTTTGTGTTCCTTGTACTGTACTTATTTTGAATGGTGTGGATTTTATTTGAGTATATGTGTTCTATTTCGCATCTTATTGTTTAAAAATGTAGGAGGTATCTGCGCAAAAAACGTATATGTCAAAGCGATGTGTGGGCCGGATTTTCCAAATACCATTCGGCCAACAATGCAATACATCTAGAGCTAGACAACGGTGTACAGCAAGCATCCGCCAGCTTTATATGCAAATATGAACATTACAAGAATCCTAAAGCAAAACTTGGGTATTTCCATCATTCCAAACAAACCCCCAACCAATCATGCCTCCTTACTTTCCAACCGATCCAATCTACCCTCCAGATCACGCACCCAGGGCTCAACAAGCGCGATATTGCTCTTTAGAGCCCCCTCTCCCTGGTTCATCTTTTCTTCGACAACATGCAGCCCCTCGCGCCATTGGTCGATCTCCCGAGCCATATCGGCTTGGCGTCGTTCCAGCTCATCAAGGGATTCGGAGGCTTGAGCGGCGCCTGCGTGGATGGCGCGGAGGGAGCGAAGTCGTTCCAGCACGCTTGGAAGAATAGGGTGGAGGGACTGGATGGTTGGGAGTGTGGCGTAGAGAGCTTGGATCTTCGTGGCTTGCTCATCACGTTGGGTCGCTGCGGGGTCGACCTCTGTGGCGGATGAGGACACGGACATGTCGGACGGTTCGAGAGCTGCGGAGGCGATGCGGGCATTTTGCGCGGCCTTGGCGGCATCGACGGCGCGCTTGCGTGCGGATGCGAGGGCTTCGGTGTCGGCGGTTAGCTTTCTCACACGGGTCGACAGAGTCTCGAGATGAGGTGTCGACACTGTCGTCGAAGGTGGAGCGGAGCCTATTGTTGGGACCGCAGAGACAGGAGCCGGGCCGACGAGGATGTTCATTAGAGTGGTCAGACGGGATGTAAGGTGGTCTAGAGCCGGTAAGACGGGCTGGAGTGGTACATATGAGCTCCCATCAGCGATGAAGGGGTTCGAGGAGCTGGAGATGCCCATCGCAGCCTCGACAAGCGCCAGCCGGCCGTCAAAGGCCGCAGCGTGCGCCAGAACACCGGAAGATGGAGCATTAGGGGGGGTTGTCTTTTTCTCCGCCTTCTCAGTTGGTCCATCCGGCTTGTCCGGGTCATCGGGGGCTGTTTCAGAGATCTTCTTGGATAGTATCGCGGCTGCCGAGTGCGGTCCAGATGTGCTTCGGGAGGAGGCATAGAGATTATCCAACGCCCGACTCAACTCTAGCACTCCGTCGTCCAGACCTTCCTTGTACTCTGCCTGGGTTTCATTGGACCCTAATCCAGTTTGACGAGAAGCCATTTCATCCTTCAATTCCTCCACTTCTCTGCGAAGGCGAGCAAGTCTTCTGTCCAAACCTTCATCTTCACTATCGCTGAAGTCCCCTACTTCTTCCAAACCATTCTCGTCTCTCTGGCGTCGGCGACTCTTGCTCCGATATGCTTTCCGTTTCGTAGCGATACTGTCGGAGAAATTGACTTCGCGCGCATCAACGGTAGCACCGAGGAAGTGAGCGCGCGCCTCGTCCGCATTGATGCCTTGGCGGTCAATATCGGGATTAGAGCCAGCATCATCATCTGAATTGGAATTGGTGCGGATTGTTGCAGTCTGAGTACGATAGATATATAGTGATATGGTCAGAGGACAACTCCGTATGTTAGTAGTTCAGATGTGGTGGCTAACCGGTACAGTGGACGCTTCATCGGTCAAATCGGGGGTCTCGTAGATATCGGGCGCGAGGTCCTATGTCCAAAGCCATTGGGGTTAGAAACACGGTAAACATGCAAGCATGGCAATGCTCGCGTGGGGAAGAACTAATTTACCAGATCCGGAAGCCCCGCATATTTCTTATTGAAAGCCATGATCTGGGTGCAGAGTGTTTGGTTGGAGCATCTCGGAAGGACTCCTTGTAAACTAAATGTAAACTATGGGAACAAGGACGAATTGCGGTGGGTCTCCGCGTTGGCACGTGAAAGGGGCAATTGCCCTTTTCGGCCTGAGGCATTGAACCATTTGATTAACAAAAGAATGAGGTCCATTCATTAACTGTTTTCAATATAGGGAGTACACACGCAAATACGTAATGACTATGGTGACATTCAACTTCACATGATTTGATGATTGTGTCATATCTCCATTAAAAATGCACACTCCATGGGACGTTCCGTGCTGAAACAGGCATCTGTGTTTCAATGTTGGTTTGGCATTTGGCGCCAAGCAGGTTCCTTCGCCATCATAGGACAACCAGTAGGGGGTTTAACAGCCATGGCGTCGAGATGTAATTTTAAAGTACTAGTAGTAGTAGTAGAAGAAGAAGAAGAAGGGGAACACATGCACGTGGTTACAGCCTCGGAGGTTGACAATCTGGGCAGGTCATGCCTAATCCGGTAGTTTGTGGAGGACGTGACTGGAACTGCCCGGAAAGGCACATGAATGTGACTTGACTTCCTCTTTCCCTGACTTCAATCTATTTAAACACCCTCTCCTTATATCCTCTCACTACCCCAGTAGTTCCCTCTCATTCTTATTACCTGCATCCTCCTCCTCAGCACTAACTGCCTCTCACCTCCATCGTTTTTTTTAATCGACTTGTATACTCCTCCTATCTCTTATCTAACCTACCCCGCATCACCATGGCTGCCCCCGCTGATATCACTATCAAGGACCTCAGTGGAGAGTGGACGATGGTATGTAGAAACCTTCTAATCTAATTCTTGGGCACTCAGAGTTCAACGAAATT